GTGCTAAGGGGAAGAAAAACACCTTTAACCTGTTATTTAATAAATTTGTCGATATTTCTAATACTAAGGAGGCTAAAACCAGCTAGTTTTGTATTTTACTGGTTTGAACTAATTGCATTTTAAATCATGAATGAAAATGCAAAGCATAGGAAATATTTTGGTTTTGCTGGAGTCAGCATACATTTGTACTACTTACAGTAAGAGTATTACCTCCAAACATACTATTTGTGAGTACACTGAAATAACAGAAATAATTTCATTTAAAAAGGCTTTTAAGTTTGAAAGTATGCCTTTAAAATAACAATAACATTTATAATAATGTAAATAGTTGAAACAATTTGTTATTATGGACTATTTTGATGTACTTAAATGTGGTAAGTAGCTATGGAAACTAAGAAGAGAATCAGATTTTTCAGTTGAATTTCTGTTGTATTTTAACTGTATTTGTTAAGGAGTACTTAATCTATAGTGTTTATTTATCTATGCAACTTGGTATACAAGGTATAGAAATCATTTATAAGGGAAGTTGTATTGATATTTCTCTCTCTCTGTCTTTTTTTGAAGCCCATTCTTACTGGAACTGCAGCTGTAGGGTCTGGTTTGACATGGCACAGAACTCTTCCATTATGTGCAGTTGGAGGAGATCATAAAATTTTCTTCTGGGTAACTGAAATGTAAAATAATCATTTGCCTTTAATATGAAACTTTACAGCATAATGCCTGTTTTCTAGTAAAATGAAGACATTTACTCTTTGTAATGGTATTTATTCACTTGGAGAACATAAGAAAGGAACAAGTAAGGTATGAATCATTTGTGTTTGGTTTTTAGCTTGCAATTGTAAGAGCTTTTGTAAAATTGGTTATCGTACATCTGATACTTAGTTATTTCTCTTAAAATAAAATGTACTTTTTAAATATAGTATTTGGTGTAAAATTAATTTTTAAGTGTTTTTTAAGGGCTTTTATGTCCAGCAACCTCAGTCTGACAATCTCACTAACACAGCTCAAGTACTCTGAAATTGTCCAGAGTACCTACAGAAAGAACACCTGTCTCTGTATTAACTTTTCCAACCATCACTATCTTATAAGAAAAAAAAATGTTGTCCCTGAACGTTTTTGAATTACCACGAACAGTGAAGAAGCTAATGGTAAAATCAGAATGATGATTTGAAGCGGTATTATTTCTCTTAAGATGACAGAGGGATTTACTTCAAGCATGTCAAACAGCATGGTGGGTTTTTTTCTGTTTACAGCCTTTTACTTCCAGCCTTTACAGGAAAAAGCAAAGACATTCTGCTTTCTAGAAGCATATTTTTCCTGTCCTTCCCATACAAGACCCAGAAATGAAGTAAAGGAAGAAAAAGACAGACATAACTCCTGTCTTCAGTATCTTTTTTGCATGCTTTTGCAAGTGAAGGGATATCAAGATGTTCAGCTAGTGTAACAGCTCCTTATAGCATCATAGCCATCCTTATTAGCAGTAGTTAGATTTTAAATTATTCTGTTGTTTGTTCCTGTTTATGCAGGAAACATAAAAACAATTCAGAAGTAGGACAACAATAAGTGAGACTACAGTCACCTTTTAAAATGTAAGACTTATTTTATTTCTCATCATTCCTTATCCTTGAGAACTTTTGCTTCCCAACTGCCACTGAAATTTACCTAAAAGATGACTATAAAGTTCCTTATAAGTTCCAGTCTTGATTGGTGTGTGCTTAAACTGTAAAATAAGCAGAGTGGAGAATGTTTCAAGATAACAGTGCTTTGTTTATCTTGTATCCATAGTTTGACCAGAGATTGCAGGCTTAACAGGTGGTTTAATTCTCTTGCAGACACAGGTAAAATTCTTTGTGGATCTGGAAGGAAGGATTGGTCTGGGGCATTGCTGTCCTTCTGGTGTGTAGTGAAACTGAAACAGATTTGGTTTTTTTCTGTCCTTTCTCAGAGCAAAGCTTTTCAGAGCTCCTAGCTATACACTATACCCACTACTCATATTGACAAGGGCAATTTGCATTAGGTATGTGCAGGTGCACTCTGACTGAGACTTTTTTGATTTAGAATTGCTTAAGATTCAAGAGGGTAAAGGGCAGAAATTCTTTTGTTCTGTAGTTAATTCAGAAGCCACAATGCTCAGTTTTAATACTGTTTTTAAGGACTACTTAAAACTGTTTACCAAAGAATGATCTTGCCAAGTTCCAGGCTCTTCATTTTACACTGGCAAAAAGTAATGTGGATATAAAAAAAAACCCCAAAACAAACAAACAAACAAAAAGCCAAGCAGCTAATGTTTTTAGCATGTTCTTCCATACAAAATAATTAGTTAATCCTCTGATGTTGCCTTAGCACAGTACTTGGAAAACTGCAACATGACAAGCCATTTTCAGAGAACTCCAAATGATTTATCATTTACTTTCCATTTTCTTTTCTTTTTTAAAAATAAACCTACATAACACCTAACATTTGTATTTCTCAGTCTGTTTAACTGTCAAGGGTTGATAATTCTCTGAACTCTGTTTGCGAGATTTGTACATACTCTGACATACCAAGATCATAGAGATAGGGGAGTTTTTTAGCTTAAATTCAGTTGAGAGAAGAATCATTGAGGCAATATCGGTTTCATAGAGAAAACTTTACCTGAATACCCTTTGCAGGCACGGATTTAGAAGACTCTGTGGGAAATCAAGCAAATGTTAATCCACACTGACCTTTTCAGCTGTTCATTGGACCACCTTATTAAAAACAACTATTGCCCCTTGTGGAGGATCAGGTGACAGCATGTCTGGAGATTTTTTTGGATCAGCTTTTTGTTTCTGTTTAACTTGTCTCTCAGTTGTATGGCTATTTGAGTTCTGGGCTGATTCTAACCCAGTGTTGTGTCCTGGGACATGTAACAGTATATAAGCACAGAAGATGCATACGAACCTTGTAAGCTACAGTAGCACTTGCCAGTTTTTCTCAGCTTGTGCAGTTTTGTTTTGCTGTTGACCAGAGGCTCTGATTTTGTGCAATATAAAATTATATATAGCAGGTCGGTTTCAATGCTTTGAAACCCATGTTCCTCTCTTTACTTTTCAGTGTACCCTAATCACAAGACAAATATTTTTTACTAATGATGAAGACAGAGCTTTGATCAGTTTTCTGTACACATGGCTTTTGCACTCCAAGTTAGCCTCAGCATCCTGAAAGTTAACATTTTAAAAATACTAATGTTCAACCAAACTTCATTTCAGTAACTCTGAAACAGTCTTTAATCTTTCCTTCACTGAAAGGTGGAGCTACATGACCGGGCCTTTAAATGCCTCCATATATGTGAACATATACACAGGGTATAAACTGCCAGCAGTTAGGTACTGTATAGTACTTATTCCTCAATTTGACATTTATCATTCAGTATGGGTGCTGATACAAAGTATATTTTCAAATAGTACACACAATAAATCAAGATATTATTACTCAATTATTTTTTATAAATCCTCTCATTGGGAGATCAGTCATTTATAGTTACAGCTGAGCAAACCAGTTCAATTAAAACTTTTGTAAGAAGTTTTGGAAAATTTGGATCATTTTCCTCTGTTCTCTGTTTTTCACTTTTCATACCCTGCATTTCCTAACTCCAGCTGGGAGAAAAAGTGCTGCGTTGCACTTTTTTATGTAGTATTTTTGGCCAAATTAAAAGCAGGAAGTACCAGAAAGTTCACAGTAGAGCATATTCTTGTGAGATTTCTTATCCAGCTTTACAGACCAAAACATTCAGATAAGATCTGACTATGTATTTACATTATGAATTTTCTGTGCCATCACCTGGAAAACTTGTATTATAGACACTTTATGATAAATGAGATTAATTCTTGAATATAATTTAGTGGGGGTTTTGAGGTAATTAAGGTGGCAAGATAATTCACTTAAATAATTTAAACAAGCTGCTCCTTTTCCCAACACAAATTTACACAACACCTATAAGCTAGGAACTGAAAGCTAAACCCACTGAACTTTGTAGGTTAGCCCACTGTCCTTCCTTTGGGAAAGGTGAGAAATTGCCAACAACACGTCAGCGCTCCAAAGCATAGCATGAATCACAAGTTGTTCAGTAATTCAAGCAGTATAGACAAAAAACTTTGTTATACTATCTCAGCAAGAGAGTAATCACGATATGCTTTTGACAGCAGGTTATTAATAAATATATTATGAAAGTAATAAAAAAAAGCTGCTTCAGTAGATAAATGAGAATTTTATGTAAACCTGAGTAATAGAACTAAGTGCTCTAGGTAAGCCACCATTGTTTCTGTCTGTGCATTTGTAGAATGCTTAACTATAATAATTTGGAACTAAATAGAGAATTTTGGTAAATTTTAAACCAAAATTGGCATAGCACATTTGGGTTTTAATCTTCAGAGTATTACAGCAATTAGTGCATCCTTATTCATCTCATCAACATGAGAAGCTTTCAACTCATAGCCTCAGAATATGGTAGTTTCTTAACTGCCCTGAATTTGGGGGGGGTTATTAAATGTGGCAGTATTCAGATGTAACCATGGAGAATTTTCACCAAATATTTTCCTCACTACAGTCTGTTTAGATTTACTGCTGTAAACAAGGACTCCAGATCACCCCAATTTGTCTTGCCTTCCAGTAGTACAAAGCCTTTGAATTTAAATGAAGCAAAGTTTTACCTAATAGATTGAACTGTTGGTAGTCTTTTGTTCCAATGTTATAACAAACATCATCATTCTAGGATTTTTTCGTTGCTTAGCCTAGATTCTCCAAAACTTAGCCCACGCATCAGAACTGGGAAGTCAGTGTGCAGTTTGACATCCCATGCCTTTTCCAAAGGATAGACTTTTTTTCTATTATTCCTGGCTAGCATGAGAATGAATTCTGAAAGTCAATGACTGTTTTCATGGAATAACCCAGTAAATACTACTTCCATATACTGTTTGAGTTGGTTTTACTTACAGATGCAAGTGCATGTAATGTTCTGTCTGGAGCCACATCTCTGGGGATTTAAAGGTCATTTCTCATCTTTTATTCACAGTTAATCAGCTTGGGGTGGGGGGGTGGGGTAGATGCATGTTCTGTATGCAGTTGCCAGTCCTGACTCTCCATAGAGGCAACATGTCCTCAGATTTCTAATGACTTGCTCTTTAATGGTTTTGATCCCAATCAGTTTTCTGGCATCCCAGAGAATAGATGTCTTAGGTCATAGAAGACCTGTAGAAGATGCAGAAATTATTTAATATACAAGATGGGGTTAAGTATACATTCTGTTCAGCTCCCAATCTGTTGTATGTAACTATGTAGAACTGTAGACATCACATTCAAAATTTTATTAACATAGATGGCAGACAAATTGGCAGTACCAGGAGTTCAGGTCCTGTTCCTAAGCTTTCACTGTGCCTATCAATTTCAGCCAGTAAAGCTCAATCAAGCACAACACAAAAACTCAGATGTGTGTCCCAACAAAGAAGTACTTCTGTTGCCTTTCTGCTGAAATGTCACGGATGAAGTTGCGTGAGGTAGCAGAGTTATCAGTACTTTTCATACCAAAACCAACTAGGTCTTACTCTGTAACCCTGCTCACCAGACTCTGGTGTTCAACAAACACTTTGGCTGATTTGATTAATGAACCAAGCAGAAAACAGACCCTCTAACACTAGTTCTCCACCAAGATGGTGATTGGAACCACCTTAAGGGAAGGATCACTGTGTGCTATAACAGACAAATGGTGAAATGGGCACGTGTAGCCATTAGTGATGGGGCAGAGAGAGGTGAGAAACCCTTCCTGATGATGCAGTGCACTGGAGGGGTTCAGCCCATCTTCATATTGGGACCCCACTTCTAAATGGCACAGTCCTTTGAAACTGTTGTAAAGAAAAAGAATACAAGCAACCACTCTAAAATTAAAAAAAAAAAAAAAAAAAAAAAGAGGTTGGTTATTTTACAGTTAGGGAATTTTTCCAGAGGAACACCTGAAAACCTGTGGTCTAGTCCCCATTTCCTTGGAGCCTCGTACCTCTGAGGTTCCTTGGCTGAAAGGGTAGACCTACCTACTCCCTGAGCATGAGGATGAGCTGAAACCAGTGACAGGTACTGCTGAACAAAACAAAAACGTTGTAGACAGGCCATGCTTATGCTTACCTGCGCCTCTTTTCCTTTTCTATAAGCATTAAGGTACAGGAATCATTTATAACACTATTGCAGCCATGTGTTGTCCTGTTCAGAAAAACACAAGGTCATTCAGTTCTCCTTATTTTTATCCCCCACATTCAAAGCGAGGCCCCTCCCCACCCAAATAATGCATACAGCACAGATGCAGTTTCTTCACTGGCTTTTCTCATTCTTTCCTTGACCTTTGACCACAGGGGATGACACTTTATCTCCCCAAACAGCATAATCCAGGGCTACGTCCTGAGGCTGTGGAGTGCTGTGAGTCAGTGGGATCCTCAGGACCGTGCCAGCGGCTGGGACCACTAACACCGCACAAACTCGGGGAAAAGCAGCGCGTTAATACTTAACGAGCAGCTGGGCCAGGGCGGCTCCTGCCCGGGACTGCACTTCCCAGGAGGAACTGCGCTTCCCAGGAGGAGCCGCGCCGGGAGCGGGCGCGGCCCCGCCCCGCCGAGCGCAGGTTTTGGTTCCGGGCCGAGGGGGTTCCGGGGTGCGCGGAGCTGCTGCGGGTGCGGGGCCGCCCCCGGCCCCGGCCCCGCGGGGATGGACGAGGACGGGCTGCCCATCGTGGGCTCCGGCATTGACCTCACCAAGGTACGGGCTGCTGTGGCCCGGGGGTGCGGAGCTGTCGCGCCTCCTCCGCCGGCGGCGGCGGCTGCGCTGGCCCTGGTGCTGGGCGAGCCCCGTGTCCCCGCCTGGTCCCTCTGAACGGGTCGGGACCGCGGGCGAGGGGAGCTCCCTGTGGGATGAGGGGCCGGGGCCGCCCTGGCACCGCCGGCCGAGTTCCCGCAGAGGGGACAAGCGGGAACAAGCGGGCTCTTGTCCTCAGCCGTGTCTCCAGGGTTCACCTTTTCCAGTGGGTTTTGCCGCAAAGTCTGCGGTAGCGTTATGTTTAAAGACTAAGCCGTTTCAGTCGTCTATCTGTGAGGCAAATCCCGTGCAAAGCTGATAATTCATGTCTTTTATAGATGCAAAAACTTTTTAAAAACAAAAAAAAAAAAAAAGCTTTGTTTCCCAAATACTGAGCATAAAGGCTGGGCAGTTCAGTTGCCCCAATGGTCCTTCCATCCTCTGTGCCACCCCACAGATTTCTGCTAAGGTCGTAAGCACTGTTTGACTAGTTTTGGAACCACAGAACTGAACTTGAGCAAACCCTGCTATACAGGTGCACAGGCTGAAGACTACTTCAGATAGTAGCAACAAAAGTGTCAGAAAAAAATCAGGATGTTTTAAGATTGTCACTGTAGTGTATACAGTTCACTCTGTTCACAAACTGATGTTCAGTGCAGCTGAAGCTTGGCTGCAAATATTTCTCCTTGTAAAGCTTTCACTTCAGCCAATGACAATTTCATAGGCAAATTTCCTCTCTGAAGGTTAAGACTTAAAGCAGTTGTCCATGGTAATTAATCCTGAGGCACTGTAATTTTATATGTAAATTTTTGTGTGAAAGTTCCTGATTCCAGTCTTCTGTAATGATTTAAATAAAAATGCCAATTGTCTGTTACATTATGGGCACCAGACCTTTTTTTGACAAACTTAAGATTCTGCCTTTTAGTCTGAAAAGTATGTGAGTATCGGATCTCACTTGGAAGATAATTTTTGGTAATTTTAGGGTAGTCTGGGCTTGCAAGTAAGAAACAGTATGGGTAGCCACTAAATACTGAGACAGTGACATCACTACACTTTATTTTTGGTGATGCTGTTGGTTGCATCTGAATATTAATATGAATGAGCAAGTTTGCTTTTCCTTCTTAAAATTCAGAAGGAAAGATTGTAATTTCCTCACCAATTTTAAGAAACATTAACACAGATTTTCAGGAAATTTCACAATTTCATCTAAAGCCGTTTTCCTAAACAAGATAACAGTCCTTCATTTATGTAGGTCTTGTTGCCTTTTCTATGTATCCTGCAAATTCTCAACTGTCATGTTAGTAGATTTTTAGTGGCAAGGATTTGTATGAATGCATATATATGTATCTGTGTCTTAAAAAAGGATTTGTATGTGCAGGCACTTATAGCAAGCACACTTAAAACATATTTCCAAAATAATTTCTTCTAAAGCATCGGCATTTTTTAGCAGATATTTGAATCCAAATCTGAAAATTGAAATAGCTGTGTAACCTAATTTTCTTACATTTTTTGATGCAGGTTCCTGCTATTCAGCAGAAAAGAACTGTAGCGTTTCTAAACCAGTTTGTGGTTCATACAGTGCAGTTTCTGAACCGCTTTTCTACTGTTTGTGAAGAGGTATGTTTATTATTTTCCCAGCTGTCAATTTTTAGAATTAAAAAAATTCTAGAAATGAGAACCCTTCATTTAAATATTTTTGATGCAGTAACACTGGTAGCTTACAACAAAAAAAATTAGTCTGCTTTCTATTCAAGGTTTCTCTTGAGTAAGTGCTTAAGACAGATTTTTTCCCCTAAGGAATCCACATGAACTGTTGATTATGCCACATTCAATCCTGTTTTCTTAAACTTTTGCATTTGGCACAGTCTTTGAACTTTTTGATACATGGAATTTGTTCTGAGCAACTTCATCTGTATCTATTGACTTGTTATAGAAGAAGGATGCCATATACCTATGGTGCATCAGAACTTGCTTTCAGATTTTACCACCTTTAATTGAAAAGGATGATACTCTGAGCTCTGAATGTAAATAATTTTGATGTAGAAAAAATGACGGTTTTGGTAACTGGTTAGTATAGAACTTGAAGCCCTTAACTTCAGTTTGCTTTAAAAAAAAGAGAAAAATAAAAATATTTAGGGCTAATAAATTTTTGTGGTGACTTTAGATTCAGTGGAAATATGCCAGACCAACAAGACTAGTATTGTCCACTGAACAGGACAAGAGTGCTTCCTCCCTTGTAGAAAGGGTGTTTTCTAATGTGGCTTTGAGCTTAACTTTTTTGTCTTTAGTGGGTTTTTTGTAACTGTTCATTAGTTTATTCAACAAAGACTTCTATACAGCCGTAGCCAGCTGGGCTAGGGCAGCAGTCAACTCCAATTAGACTAAGCCGTGTAATCTGAGAAATTCTGTTACTTGTTAGTAAAGTTTAGAGCCAGACCCGTGACAAGTATAAAATTTGGCTACCGCATCAATATATGGTGCTTCAGAGGAGAAAAAGTAATTTTTCCTAGATTTTTAAACTCCTTGTAATTTGGTACATGGGGCAGTGTAACCGCCTGATGATGCTGTTGTCGTTTGTCCAAAACTCCGTTGTCACACAATCTCAGTATTGCCTTTTACATTGGCACTCTGGAAATCAGAACACAGGTATTTAAAGCCACTTTGAGCATGGAGCAGGGCTGTGAAGTCCACCTAATAAAACAGTTATTAGCTAACCTGAAGAGAATAAATAATTGCTTTATAAACTCCTTGAAAAGTTTTTTGTGTTTGTGAAGTACCGAAGTGTTTTTAATGTGAAAGGTCATGGTGTAAGTCAGCAGAAGCCAAGAAATTCAAAATTAGGGCTGACACCATCCTTAACTCTAAATTTCTTGGCTCTTGTCTAGTCAAATAGACCCATAAAGTTACATAATTGCCTTCTGTACATCTTTCCTTCCCCTTACCCAGCTACATGTAGGGCACATAGTTCCTTCCAATAGGAACTAACTCCTCTTCATGAACAAAGGACCATCTGTAAACAAGTCGGTGCACTATCCAAAAAGACTAACTCCTGTCAGTCTCTTTCTACTTTTTCTAGCATATTGGCAGAACTGTCTTTTTCTTAGGGTGTTAAAGTTCTGCCTCAGAGCCAGGCAGAATCTTGCCAACATGCCAGAAAGCTGTCAGAGTGGTACATATCTGCCAGCCAGGGTGCTAGCCAACTTCTCTTGGACAGGTCTGGTAGAGTATGGTAATGATTAGTTAAAAGACTGACAGTTCTTATAGAGTAATTTAGAAAAACTTGAGTTGTATTTAAAAAAGTGTCGAAATTTGATTGAGGTGCACTTGGAGCATATAAAGTGTCTGGTTAGTTCTGATTCATTGTGAATTTTGACTGTACAGAGTTTGAATTATCTGCTGTATTTATCAGATTTTCTCTTTGTATTTGCTCTGTTACATATGCACACATAACATCTTTTCATCTTCCACATTTGGAAAAAACTTTGAAGAAAGATCTTTTGATAACTGTGAGAGTACAGTATACGTACCATTAGTCTCCAGTTCCCCAAAGGAATACCCTATTTACTTTGGCTTTCTTTTGTACATAGTCTGTCTTCATTTCTGTCAGTCATTATTTGGGAAAACTAACTGCAGAGTAAAATTATTTAAAATCTGAACCACTGTAGCTACTGTACTAAGAAGAGTTGTCATTGCTTCATTTATTTCCTAATGTGATGATCTCATTTACACTCTGCCTCCAACAGGTAGAAGACAACAGTGATTTTTTTTATCTAGATGCAAACTGTTTTATATGTACAATTGCCTAGGGAAGTGTTTTCACATTCTGACTGTTTCCTGTTGTAGAAATTGTCAGCACTCTCTCTCCGTATTCAACAGATCGAAACAACACTCAATATTCTGGATGCAAAGGTTTGTACGTATATAGACTTTGTCTTCTAGCAATGACAGCCTCCTAGATTACATAAACTAGCTTCCTTTTCATAGCCTGAATTGAGCAAATATGTTTTCAAAATGATTTGAAGGAGCTAATATGGAATCCTGATGTCAAAAATTCTCTCTTTTCCTGCCTTGCTACTTATACTGTGTAACATTTGAACGTGTAATTGGTGCGGAAGAAAGGAACCATGGGCACATAGTAGAAACGTTGAGTTTGTCTCTGTTAAGCATATGGAACAGGAAAGGAGCACGTGGATCTTGAAAAGGCAGCTGAACTATTTGGTACCTTACTTGTGTTGATTTTATTGCGATGTTTGTTTTTAAGAAAATGGAGAGACGTTTTCAGATATTCTGATATGCAGCCTGTGTTGCAGGGTTGCAGTACAAAATAGCATTTGCTAGCAAACTCTAATAAAGAAATTTTTGCTCCCTTTATAAAGCAGAATTATCTTTGTATGGGCTGCAAGGATTTCAACTGGTATAAGTAACTAGATAGAAGCCTTGTAAGTCTTTGATGTTGAAATGGGATCTTATGTGAGTCTAAGCTACTGCAAATGTGTCTGATGTGTCTTCTTTAGCTGAAATGACAAAAGGATATAATCTATAGTATATAATTTCCTAAAAGAAAAAAAAACCACTAAAATCAAAATCCCAAAGACAATAAGCCACCCACTGTGCATTTTTTAACCAGTACTTCTTTCAGTAATGAGGGAGGCAATTTTGGTTGGCTTTTCTGGGAGCAGGGGTGGGACATTTTGAAGCTGTTCATTAAGATCTTTGTGAAAAAAATAGTGTAATAATACGAACAGTGCTTAATAACTCATTTATATCAAAATATTTATGAGTTATCAGTATTGATGATTTTTGCAGAATTCTTCATAATCGTGTTAAATAGAATTTTCTTCAAATAAATATGCAGTGTGTTTAATATCCACTTTCAGCATTCCCTTAAAAAAGAGTGAAATATGTAGAAAATTGAAAAATTTGTAACCAGTCATCCATCTGTTAGGTGATAGAGCTATTCTTGTCATGATTTCTTTCACTGTAGAAGTAGCAGAGATGGCATGGTCTTGTGTGATTGGTAAGTGCAGCAGCAAAATTCTGGGAAGGTGTGGAAGCCTTTCCTGTGCTGCGACCCTGTATTAACTCTGTCAGCTCCAATGGACTGTTTTGGATTTTCTATTGTGGAAGCCACCTGAATAGAAAGATTTTTGGGGTTTTTTTCCCCAATCAAAATACCAAAACTAGTGATAAAGAGCTACAGTTTTACTAATGTAAAGCCTAGCTGAGCAATATATGGTAAGCAGCATGCTGCAGGCTTTATTGTACATGTAGGCTTCTGATGTGCTCATTGCTTATTTGATGGTGTTTTATGCATTCAGTTATCCTCTATTCCTGGCCTAGAAGATGTCAAATTTGAAGTGTCCAGTGCAAATACAAATAGTGTTACAAATGGTCCTGTGGCACAAGCTACTACAGATCAACAGACAGCTGTATCACCTCAATCTGGAGTAAGTAATGAAGCATAGCTATATATTCTATATACAGTCTATAATATATTCTGTATATTATTCTCTATGTACAAAAAATGCCAACTTATTACAAGCAATCAACATTAAGATCCTATCTCTGCAATTAATTTTATATTGTTTTGGGGGGTTTATGTGTATAGGTAGTGGGTTTTTTAACCCAGACTTAAATCCTATGATCACCACTTAACTAAGTGAGGCTTTTCAGCCCATTTGTAGATGGACTTCTTTTCCCAGTTTCCCCTTACGGTTTCTTCTCAGGGAATCTTCAATCTCTGCTCATTCTCTTAGTTGGTGGAAGTTGCTGTGGAGCAGCAGTAGCAGGAGTACTCTGCTGCTTTTGCCTACCTGTCAGAGATTATAACTCTGATTTGCAGGCAGCAGCATGGGAGACAGAATGGACAGCACTGTGTGTTTCAGCCATGTTAGAAAATGACTCACCATTATTTTATTTTCTTTAAAATGTTCCTCCTCCCAGATATTAAAGTATATAAAGTATATTTAAGTATTTAAAGTTCAGATATTTCTGAAAGGAGGTTTCCAGTGCTGCTTTCAAATGGTCAGTTTTATAGTAAAAATACAGATTTCTGTGTTCGTTTAAATAGTAGTAGAACTTCTTGTCATTTTTCATTTTATTTAAATTAAATACTTTCAAGGATTCTTTGATTTCCTTACGTTATCCTTTAGATAATGATTTATACTAAAAGGTATAGTTTAAAAATTGCATGATCTGTATGAAACATTTGTTAGGGGATCAAATAAATATTTTGAGGAAAAAATGCATTGGACTACTGAAGGAGATTTATAGATATAATCCTTAAAAGTATTTTTTTATGAAAGGAACATTTAGATTTAGTGCTGTGTTATTCACTAAGTACGATTTAACAGGGCCATTGGAGGCTTTTTGATTTTTCATGTATAACTTGTAATCTTGATGAAGAAGAATTGCACTTTACTTTAAATATCAAATTTCATGGATTGAAATCTCTTCATGCACCTGGTCTGTACAACCTACCCATTAAAGGTTGTCTTCTTCGTATACAGCAGAACAGTGTACAGGAAGAAGGGTTACAGAAAACGGAGGTAGTTACAGAAAATGTCACAACTGTGGCCAAGGATCCAAGATATGCCAGATATCTCAAAATGGTACAAGTGGTAAGTCAGTTCTCATGTCATTCTTTGGCTACTCTTTTATTTTTAGGTGGAATGTCACACACAGCTGTAAGTGAACATTTAATGTCTGAAAACATATATTGCAGCAGTAATCTTTAAGCTAGGATAACATCACAATATTTCTAGCACATCTTCTCTAATAAATGAGTTAATGTCATATATTCCCTCAGACAGCTCCTGGCAATATCTTTCTATGAAATTCTGCTGATATACTTGTGAACTGAAGGTGTGAAATGTGTAATGCAAAGTGATATTAGCTGGAGTCACAGAAGATGCCACTGAAAGTGTAGTTATTCTGGCAGAATTGGAGTCATTCCCTACATACAGACATGATTACAGTTTGGTTTTGCTTTAGGGTACAAAATACAGCTTTGCTAGTATAATCTAGAACAGGAGTACTTCATGTTTTTGTAGAGACTAAAATAGAGATACAATGATTGCTTCACTATGTGGTTCCACTTCAGTTTCCTGTTATTCAAGATGCAGGTTTTGTTAACCTATTTATCTGTGTTCTGTTCTACAGATAAATAGGAAAGAAATTAATGTAATCTCAATATTTACACGTGTGAAAGCTAATGAAGGAATGAAAGGATGAATGGGAGACTATTCATGACATTTTTAAGAGCTCTTTTTTTCACATCCACAAAATTAAAAATGAGATTGGAAACAAAGAAAATAACCTGTCTTTATTTTCAATCTGTCAGTGGAAAATTTCCTCTATGATACATATTATAATTCTGGAAAGTATGACTATGTCGTAGTATTACTAAAATGTTAAAACTAACTTCTCAATTTCACTCATTCTTCAGAGAAATTATTACAATTGGTGTGCTTGGTCTTTTGGATGATGTTCCAGACCTTGTTTTTCACTTGAATCACAAGTTGGCACTTTATGGGTAGCTTGTTACAAACCATTTGGAAAATTTAGCAGTGGGATAGTAGCAGAGTTGAACACTGTGTTAGTGTATTGATTTAATGCCAGACTTCAAAGTCAATGTGAAAGTGCTGGATGGTCTAATTACTTTGAATTTTTTGTGACTGTTAGAGGAGTGAGATCTCACTTTCCATATTTCTCCTTTGTACTGGCAGTTCCTGGTGACTCCTGTGCCAGTTGTAAACAGTGTGGTAGGAAAGTCAAACTAACATACTACAATTTAATGTGTGTTTTTTGTATTTGCCAAACTTGTCTTCTCCTCCAGTCAAGTATTTCAGTTGGTGTCATTTATTTGCCCAAATTAAGTTTCTAGCAGAAGATTTTTTTGAACTGATGATTTATTTATTACTCGCTATATTTGTAGTGTATAAGAATTAGCACCATTCTGCACTTAAGGTAGTTCTCCTGTGAAATAGTAACAAACTCATTTTGATGGAATGCAGTTGAACATACTAAATTCTTACTTTTTAAAATATACAACAACAATATTCAAACAAATCTTTAAAAAGCAGTATAATATTTGCTAAAATAAATGTTCAGAATGCTTCTATTGACAGTGGGACAGGAGCAGTCTGCGATTTGAGATAAACTTCATGTTTAACGTACAAATAGTCTGACTTGATTCTAAACACCAGAAATGGCTGTATAGAGGCCAGGACTCTGACTGGCCTGTTAATAGGTTAGTCCTTGCTTTAAAGGACTGAAATAAAAACCAAACGTGGAGAGTGCACCGATCTTCAGGAATTGCCAGCACTGATGGGATGTGGTCTCTTTGTGCGCTATGGAAAACTAAAACCCATATTACAACAAGATTGCTGCTTGCACTGTGGCTTCTCCAGGACATGCACACTTCCTGATCTGCAGGATCTGTCTGGGAGTGGGGCTGGGGTGCACTGTTGAGTATGCAGTGACTTGGATTATTTTAAATCTTAACTAAACAAGGCAAATGCGATGGAAATTTAGTACTGGCTTGTAGGTTAGAAAAGTACAAATGTGCCATTTCAGTGGACCTGTATGCTCAGTGTAGTTAATCTTTAGATTTAAAATAGGTTTCTGTTTCATTTTAGTAAAATTTAGCAATATTAGAATATTAGTATTAAAATATTTTTCCAGATTAAAACTTATGAGACCATGAAGGATAAAGTAATTGTAATACCTTGATTGTGTTATAAACAGATATAAGTACAATCTTAATTGTTTTCCTTCAGGGAAAGAAGTCCACTGTTAAAGGGTATTTTGATTAAACTTTGATTAGTTTTGTAAATCCGTGATATATAAAGGTACTGAGAGGGTTTCTTCTTGCAGATTTTGATGCACACAATGTTGGAATAAAGCACTACTCCAGGTGTCAACATAAGAACAACCCATTCTCAGAAGTTCCTGTACCAAGTTCCCTTTGACTGAAAGCAAATATGAATTTTGCTTTGCCTGATCTGACTCAATTTCATTTTTGCTTTAAAAAGCATTAGTACAAGACACACTTGTACTTTTTTAGACACACAATCCGTGCTGTCCATGTCTATACTATAATAAGTGAATTTTTAAGCTATCATGAAATATTCAAGTGAATATTCAAAATATTCACCTCCATATTGTACACTAGTTGTTAAATACTGAGAAGTTCTTTATTTCAGGCTATTACCATGCAACTATTTGAGTGACATTTCTGCTGATGTGCCTGATAGATTGCTGATACTATGTACCTGTCTGTGTGCTATTCCAGAACATTCATGCACAAGTCTTGATTGTGATTCTTACTGTGAAACTGCACGAGCAAAACACAGTAAGCAGCTACCTTAGTACACACTTTGCCAGGTTAGCTAGTCAAGAGCACCACATATTTCTCTGGCTGCCCTTTATTTTATCACTATTTTACTTACTTTTGGACAAGAGATACTTCTTCTATGCAAAAAGAGTCCTACACTACTTTTCATTTGGCTTGTGAGGCCTCTCCTGCATTTGCTAGAAGAGCTGTAGCTTTGTCCCTTTCAAATCAGAAATTGTATCCTTCTTTTCCACCCCAGCTGCCCACCCCCCCACCATATCTTATATTGGCATGGAGTGATCCAGATGGTATTTCTGATGGTTTCCAACAGGAGATGGCAAAGCAACAAGTTGCCTTTGAGGGGCTTTAGTGGAAACATAGGAGCAGTTTGTTGGAATGTATCTCTTATAAGATAAAGTGGGTCTTGGGTATGTGATCCAAGATGAGGGGATGTTTAGGTGTTGATGAATAAAATAAAGTGCAGAAGCTGTGGAATGACTTGCAGTGAAAGGAAGGAATTTTTTTAACATGTACATAGTTGGCTGAAATCTGTCCCCAAGTCATAGAAAATTTAAGCCTGACTGCACAAGTCAGACAAGTCACTTTTAAATTGTACTTCTGTTCTCATGTCCTGCTTGCCTTTTTCTGCATGCTTTTTAGACTTTTCCAATTTTTAGCACTGCCTTAAGGTATCCTTCTGGAGTGGTAGCAGATGCACTGTCCTGGTTTTCCTTTCTTTCTTAGGTATACCTTCAGCATGTCCAAGTTTTCTTTATCTTCCTAGCACAGCTGTCCTGTGATGTCTTTGTGCTGCTTTGTGCTTTCTCCACATTTTTATCCATAAAGATAACTTCACCTTCCTGGTTTTGTCTGCATGATATGCAAATATATGTATCCAGTCTTGATTCTCTCTCTGCGACTTTCTCTAGATGTTTTGCCATAAATATAAAATGGATTAAAAGGGCCTTTAATCTTAATCATTCCTTGCTTCTAGATTCATACTGATGGCAACTAAGATTATCATTCCATGCTCGTTTGACAAGTGACCTGCATAAATTTGTATGAAAGTGTGGCTTAAATGAACCTGTGTAATTTAGTTCACCGGTTTGTTTCCAGCAGTTTCATGTTATTCTTCCTCCTGCTACACAGGGTGTTCCTGTAATGGCAATACGAAACAAAATGATTTCTGAGGGACTAAATCCAGATCTTCTCGAGTAAGTAATTTGTAACTTTGTGTAGGTCTGGTGTGCAACATGTGTTTAAAAAACTTTGAAAAAAGTGTGCTTAGAAAAGCTTGTTCAAGATGTTATGAGTCTAAGTTATCAGCATTAAAACAGGTTTTGAAGTCTTCCATGAAAGGTTTTTTTAGCATTTTACAGGCCTGAAGAGGCCCATCATTATCAAAGGAGAAGGGATATAATCTCAAGTATGAGCTATCTTTTCAACATTGTCTAGTCCAAGGCGTGTCCCAGGAAATACAGAGACTAGAATGTACATGGGTCAGTACTGTACCCTCCCAATAGCAAGCTGCAGGACTTTACCATCCAGGCTTAAGAGAATATGAAAGCATTTCTTCCAAGCCAGCCAGAGGTGGTGAGATTCAAGGAGAAGGATATAGCAATGACAGCGTAGCATTTCACAACATGCATTTAGCAATGAGAAATCAAATAAAATGTCAGTAGCCATTTTCACTGCACTGTTTAGGGTGTGAGGTTTTTCCCAGATGTTTTCTTTCAACACTTCAATAACAAACTGTCAAAACTGTAGACTAATAAGAACAAACTCAATTTTATTTTGCTGGATGCATGAGGGACAGCACGGTTGTTTCCAGATTCCCTCAGTAGATGGAGTGTACAACTTGACTTCAGCATTGTCAGTGTAAATTGAAGTCAGCAGTTTGAAATTTTGGCTGTTGATTGAGTTAACCTGATGTGAAGACTACTAAGAATAGATACTAATTTTCAAAGCTACTTGTCATAGTGGCCATAAACATTAATTTTAGGATTATTTTACATTTGACGTTTAATTTAGCTTTACTGTAATATTTCACAGAATTTGTTAAATAGATGAAAGTATTAACTGTCATTCTTACATTATAGCCACCAAACTGTTTGAAGCACTTTTACATCCTCTTCAGAAACTGTCAGTGTATTGGAAAGTCCATGTTTCCTTTCCAGTGAAGTCTTTTTACATTTTGTAAAGGCTTATTCTGAAAGTAGCAACTCGTTTAATAACATAAACCTGAAGTATCATCACGTGCTCAGTCAGTTTATCTCCCAGCTACTTCCCGGTGTCTAAATAAACCTAAAATAGTTATTCCTCAGTTGATATTTTTTACTGATTGAATGAGAAATAGGAAGAAGAGCAGAAGTAAGACCCTGTGCAAGTCTGAGGGTTATCAAACATGGTTTTTCTATATGTGTATTAAATGTGTTATATTTTTTACTCGGCACTTCAAATCCATACCTTTCCGTAATTGCTGCTATTTCTTCGTGTTTGGGCGGATTTTTATAGTAGATTAATAAAAGGTTAATATTTCAAAAGCTGTTTTTTAAAAAAGTATCTGCTTTCGAGTTTTCTGGTTTGGGTTAAGACAGAAACATTATTACTGTATATTGAGGCTTGCAGAATATGTTTGGGGTTTGGTCCCAAAGTCCATCTTCAAAGATTCTGTGCAATAATAATGCTTAGTCAGATTTTCTTTAAAATGTTGTGGGTTTGAAGACTGATTAAAGCAAGCTAATTATTTGGCAAGGTGCATAATGCAGAATATTTTAAGGCGTCGAGGGTGACCATTCTTTCAATTTTCTTGCTTTCTTGTCTCAATATTATAGAGTTCTTTTTTTACATGTATCTTGCCATTCACACCACAATTCTTGGGTCTTCAGGTTCCTTAGACCTAGTCACTCAGTCCCAAAGAAAATTAGGAAAATGTGCATATTGCTGTGGGCTCACTCACTTATTGCACACTCTCCCATCTACTTGCCAGTCACTGAGCATGGGTTTTTGTGGCTGTAGATATGCTAATTCTAATAATATGGAGTTGTTTCTACTCTTTTCTTTTGGCTGTTCCACTTCTGTTATTGCTCCTTCCTCAGCTTTTTACAGCATTTGGTAACTGCCTATTCTGTCAAGTTCCCAATTTATTTATTTTTAACTTCTGTTTCTTACCCTTCCTCTCTTGCCTACCTTCAACTCCAGGAGAGTTTGTCCACCTCTCACAAACTAAAGGAATTCAGTGCCATCTTCCTCTTCTTATTAGACGAGAGTTTTGCACTGTTCTCTCCAGATCACATGTCTTTGCACAGCTCTTCTGTTTTGTCATTACCACGGCAACAAGGAATAATATTGTGAAGTGGTATTTGCATGAGAAAGCAAATGCTTTCTTAATTTGTTTTAGAGGTGTGCAGGGGAGAGGGAGAAGGCTCTTCTACAGTTCTTTAACACACTTCTCATCTTTGCACCCAAAGTGTTTAGAAACACTTTGAAGGTACCTTAGGGATTCACAACAGACAAATTATAATAAACAGAACTAAAGTTGGAAAAGAAATTCTGAACCCCCAAGATAAATAAGAACAGGATGAAAAATATAATTATCAGCTCAGTTTAAAATGCAATATTTTATCCAAGAGATGTTAACTGTCATACAGGAAGCTGGTTTCTCTGAATATCATTCTTTCCCAAGTATAATTATTTGCATATATTCTACCTTGTTTTCAGAATTCATCAGGCTCAGTCTTGCTTGTATGTCAAACTCATTACATACTTAGAAGGGAGACTCCAGAGAGCCAGCATCTTCAGGCAGTAGTGTTAGTTACTCTTTAGATGGCTTGCTTCTCTCCCCTCCATCTCCAGTAGATTCCCCAAGCAAATGTTTTGCCATGATATTAAGATCCCTTTTAAATATTCCCTTTAAAACTAAAAACAAGAGGTTTGATCATTTGTAGTGCATAAAAATCCCATGGCTGTTCTTACATGTCAAATTTAACCCAATGTTCTAGCCAAATTCCACTGTGAGTAATTCTTTTTTTGCTTCTCTAAATTATCCCTGCAGTTTTAGTTGGATACAATATTGTTCATTTCCTGTCTTATTTTTTCATGTACTATTTACACTGCTCAGTGGTGTACAGAATGTTCCTTTCAGCCCTAGAACCTCTGAAGATTGAAAAAAATTGAATTAATCATTACTGCCTGCTTTCAACTCTTTCTACAAGTGTTTGCCACTTCTTAGTGATCTGTCATTACTTCAAACAACCTCAAAGGTGTGCATTCAGACTGATGTCTGCAAAGTTTTGATGTCCAGTGAGTTACAGTTTCTAGTGTTTATCTTTCAGGTGTAGGTGAAGCAATACCACTAAGGTGTGAGTTTGTGAACCATAAACAGTTAATGTGTTAAATGTTGTGGAAATAAAGTGTATGCAGTTGTAGTGAAAGCACATTAGCTTTAATGCTAGGTTGCTTGTGTTCTCAGCTGGATTTGCAACACAGAATGTTTTTGTTGCCTGCAGGACCCCAGATGCCCCTGTGCCTGCTTGGGGAGATGATGGCAAAGCAGAAGACAGTTCTGATAGTGAATCTTCGTTTAGTGACTGAAGAGACTGATTTCAGCCTTTGGAAACCCCTGTTAAGTGCTCATGTGTTTGGAGCTTTAGCAGACAATGGTTTTGCGTGGGTCACATGGGTGACGTGATTTATCCGACAGTGGTTTTAAGAACTAAGATGCTCTGCGTTCTCTTCCAGAAAGTTTGGACAGGCAGCATGTTTCAACCTGAACCTTTCCACTATTAAAATGAGTCATGAGATCCTTGCAGTTTTGATGCTGCATCATTTCAGATTCATTTCTGATTCTTCAGAAATTACTTCATAGAACTCTAAGAATTCCACAACTCTAAACCTCCAAGTCTCTAAAACTGCATTCTGATCATTTTTAGATTTTCTTTGTAAAACATTTAACCTAAGTTACCTTCTTTCTGTCTCATAACTTACAGGTAAAGTAACTTTTGAAAATGAAATTGTTTCATTGATGAATTCTACTTTTTTCCCAATATACTATATCTGCAGTGACATGACAAGAATTACATATAAGTCAGCTATCTTATAGTGATTGCAAATCAGTGATACTCTGTTTTGAGAGAAACTAAAATACAAGTGAAAAAATATTAAAACCCAATTTGAATCTATTTTCAAAGCATATCCTGCTATTCGATGCCACCGTAGAATCTGTACAAAGTTATTAAAGAAACTCCTACTTTGTATAAGAGTTATGTATCAAATTCAGCTTGCAGTGTTGTAGAAAGCTACAAACATTTCAAGATTGGTTTGAAGGTGATACTGTGACAAAAGCAAGGGACTGGGTGATTATTAATAGAATACCAAATTCTCGCTACTTGTCCACTGTCACGTGGGTCTGTTGAAACCACTTTCTGGCTGCTGTTGGGCTTATTCAAAAGAAGCTCTGGATGAGCAGTTTCCACAGGATGAGGAATCCCCTCCAAGTTGGTGCCTTTGCTGATAATTTCGGCAAAGAATGTAAAATTCAGTTTGTATAATGATAAAACTACCTTGCCACCTCTTGATGTATACATTGGGGAACAATATAAAGAAATGCTCTTCAAGCCTGACTGGCCCTGAAGACTCCTCTCCAAATTGCCATGACAAAAATGACATTTCATTAAAGAATCTTCTTTAATATAATTTGTTCCACATTAAATTCTTCACAATCTATTTGAATTCCCCAGATTATTTTGATTATACCAGAATGCTGTGTGCCAGACAATCATTAATTTTCTGGTATTTCACATTCTTCTGAGACCAAGAAAAGACTAAAACTGAAGCTAAGTATGTAAGTTTGTTAGCCTTATGACTGAGTCAATACCTTCTCTCTTAGTTACTTATGCCACTTCAGTAGGTTAGCTGCCTTTTTTTTTTTCTGTAGCTTAAACATGGCTCACATCTGAGTCTAGCAGACATATTTTTGCTCTCCATAACCTGTAAATCAGAGTAATGCCTGAATCCCTACAAAAGCATATATGCACTAGAGAATGTCTAGAGATGGTATTTCAGTGATGGATTAATTATTGAACACTTAAACAAAAATATTCAATAGTTATAGTTAACACTTGGTAAAAGTCAGCAGATATTAACATATTAGCAATAAGTATTTCAGAAGTAAATGTGATACTGTTATTTCAGAAAGTATGTATTGAAACACTGGTGACTTTCTAAAATCTATATTTAAAACCTCATTTAAGCAGTCTGTATAATTAAAGCTATACTTTGTAAACCAAAGTTGTGATTCTATTTTATTCCTGTATGTTGGTCTAAGCAAGATAGTGAAAATTCTGCTGAAATCTCTGCAATTCATGTTTCTCCAAAACTAATCCTGCTGAAGTTACATCAACCTGCTACCCTGAAGAGAGAGTGTTGAAAATTGGGGTTTGGAGTTTAACCTAAGCCAAGGTGGCACTCTGACTAGAGGAGAACTGATCATCCCATAAACACTATTCTAACAAGCGAATTTAAGGAAGACTGAAATTAATGAGGACTGTATGTTCGATACTTTTAAACTGATATGAACCTATGTAAGGAAGTAGCATGGTTTAAAGAGTTGACTTGAGACATAGTGGTTAATTGTTTTTCTAAAGAAGTAAACAAGGTTACTGAAAGACATTTAAGGAGGTATAACTTCAGTTGTTTAACATTCTGAAGAAACTTTTTGTGTAAAGGAATTTTAGTCGGGAAAAAAAAATCTTTTACATCACTGCCGATGTACATTTATGAGGAACGAAAAAGAGAGCCTCTAGCCAACAGTCACTTGTTAAATAAGGGATAATTAATTGGTAATTATATATGTCACAGAATAACAATTCATTAGTAGGCATGGTGAATTTAACTGCTTAAGACTTTCAGGTTTTTTTCCGGATAGATTTTTACTTTGGAATAGTGCAACATTTGTAATCTGCAGAAACATTAAGAAAAATCTTGCCACTTTGTCTTACCTCCCAGTTGAGTGGTGGCACACTGCACAGAAAAAATCCAAATGTCTAAATTGTGAGGAACCAGAGGGAAAAAAATGATAAAACCTTCCCTTTTTACATTCAGTGTATCAGCAACCATAGTGCTTACACTACCTTCAGAACCTCTGACCACATTAGGCTCTTCTGTTCTTGCCAGTGTCATCTGCTGAACACATCCCTTTACTCTTAAGTTGTAGCCAAATTCAACTTAGGACACATGATGATACAAGGAGCTATTAAGTGTGGGAGGGTTGGTTTGAGACTGAATTATGTCAGCTGTGCTAGTCCTCCTTGATCTACAGCAGTTTTCTAGTGAGATCGTGCTAACCCAGAAAGTTGGAAAGTCCTTAACCACAAGCTAAATACTATAAGCAGAGAATATTCCAACTTGCTTGTTATTTGCCATCTCTTTTGGAATAGAAGATGGAGGGAGTGTTTCAACTTGGCTGCACAGTAATCAGATATACGTAATACTTTCAAGGGAAGAAGTCCATTTTTTAAGAGACTTTTATTTTTAAAAGCTTCTGAGAGCAAAGAACTTTTAAAAGATGCAGTATGCATTAAGAGATGTCAGTAAATACACATCTAATAAACCCAAATTTTGCATGGATTTGAACTCATCATCTGGGGCAATATTACAATTTGTAGGCATGAAAACTACTGCAGTATGTTGCTGGAAAAGCTGTTGAATGCATCTGTTAATAGTAATTATGTACTATTAGTAAATTCTATATTCAATGTTTAAACAAACTTTTTTATCCCATCACCATAGTCCTCATTTTGAGGGTGAACAGGAGTGCAGAATGCATGAAGGTCAGTTTCTTAAAGGCATTACAGGCATTTTAAATGCACGTAGATGCCCTTAGACTAGATGTATATCTGTATTTACGTAAGTGAAACCTCAAAAAACTGTCAAAGGCAAAACCAACATCTGGACATGATAATAACTTTATAGTGAAGTCCTGGTTTAGCACTTGTAATCATTAATCTGTTCCCTCTCAACTCATCTGTTCAGCTACATTTAAAAAGAAAATTGATGGTTCTTTTTCCAAGCTCTTCCTCTCATTTTTCTTTCCAGTGTGTATTATTTACACCAGTGAGTAAGTGTATAGTTTGACATTCTGTGAAAAAAAATTATAACAGGCTATAGCCTGTACTTGGAAAAAGAGAACATTGCTAAGATCAGAACTTTGAGTTGCATGGGATCAGGTCAATTTTTCTTTCCATAGTATTGTGTAGCATGAAACTTAAGTTTATCACAGGCTTAATCTTTCTGGGAATCCAGTTTTTTCTCTCAAAAGCTGATAGGAGGTAACACTCTTCCAATGGATTTGTCTGCAAAATGGGATGTATATTTTCTTACCCTTGAGAACATTTTGCATCCTGCTGTCTGAGATGCCTCCAGGTCAAATGCCCGCGTTAGTGTCCAAAGCATTATTCTGCTGCTTCATGTGATGGTGTCTTCATTCAGGCCACTTTACAAGCAAAACAGGAACTGCCACGTTAGCTGGGGCCTGTGGCTTGCTTAATTTTGCAGTTCTGTCTCTGGTAAAAATCAGTAGAGCACTTTAAGGGAAGATGTGAGAAACACCGCAGTGTTCCTGCAGTCCCTTTTCCTGACATCAAGATTTTACTCCAGCTGTGAGCAGAGACTGATGTTCAGTGCTAAATTACAAGTTTGCTACTGCTTCCAAAAATATTTGCATTCATTTGGGAAGCTGTGGATATTCCTGCTTTGGTTTTGACTGTCTAACTTTGCTAATACAATATTATTTTAAGGGAGCTCCATGGGCTAGTTCATTATGAGGGAAACCAAGCAGAATATTAAAATAATATACCTCATACCATACAAAAAAATGAGTGACAGAAACAAGCTTAGCAAAGGATGTGTCTGCAAATACTTATACACATTCTGAAGAAACAAGTTGAAATGACCATAAATTAAAATGCAGGTCATTGGGTGAGAACAGATGTAGCACAAAGCACTCAGTTTTATTTGCATTTAAAAAAAAAAAAAATAAGGCAGTGTCTTGACCTTAAACTAGTGGATTATTTTCTCATTCAGTGTATTTCCCATTTTCAGGTTAATGGGTCGAAAGGAAAATTCTGAATAAACATTCACTGTGCAGACAGTTGGTTTTCTTTGCTTCAGACTTCAAAACTGGTGCCCTCTCCCTGAAGGAATGAATTCATAGATAACAGTATTCCCTGATTTAGGTAGTATAATTTTTGCTTCTCAAGCTCTTGTATGTTCTAATATATTTACACTAGAAATTATCGCTTCTGTCCTGGTCTGTAGAGTCAGAAGTTGAAGTAAAGTGAATGCTAAGCTTGGGACCAGTCTTTTAATGAAAAGAGTATGTACCTGAGTGCTGAAAATACAGGGCAGGAGAAAGGGATCTGAGAATAATTTTTTGTGTTTATACAAACTGTTCTTTTTATAGGTGATTACCATGAACTGTTTAATAAACCTTATCCTTTAAGTCACTTGTAGGGGTGAGAACTTGAGTACACTTGAATTAACAAGCTGTGAAGAATTGGACAGTGGAAGAAAACTTGTGAGGTCCAGTTTAAATAATAAGTCTCCTAAGAACTGTGATTATTATCCTTTTTGCTTTCAAACAAATGATCTCTAGCATTTAGTTGATTCCGTGCTCCCAACAGATTCCATAATCCTGATGTGATTTCTTACAGCACAGTTTGGACCATTTTCCAGGGCATGGGGAATCTTTCCCCAGTAAGAACTAAACTGTTCATGATGAACAGCTTGCAGTGTTGATTTCTCTTCAATGCTTCCCAACAGCTTTTTAAAAGGGAATACTTTTGCATGTTGAGATCCAGTTCACCTACTTTTAAAGTAGATCAGAAGTAGGGAGGGGAACAAGCAGAGAGAATGAGTTGTGTTTTTCTCAGTTGTTTCATCATTTGCCTTTTCCTCACAGGACAGCCAGTATTTTTGTAAAAATGGATTAGGTCCATAATGCCTTATCATGTGTTTGATGTGGTTTAGGGAACTGATCTCAAAAGCTTGCCTGCCTGCATAAAAGCATACATCAAGAAGAAAATTTCAAAACAGCTGAATACATTTAAAGTATCATGGGTGGGGGTTTATTATTAGTATTTTTCTTACTGTAACTTGCCTCACATTTGGCTTCTGTATTTGCCTCCTCCTCTGTTGTAAATGTGAGGCTTTGTTACTGGTTCTTCCAGCCTCCTGGCATCCTTGCTCTTCAAACATTGTTGAGCTGACCTGTTACCATATTTAAAACCAAGCTCTTTTTTGAGCATTTCCATTTTATAGGATGACTCTGACGGCTTCTGCATAGTTTAATAGAGGAAAGTATTTCAGCCAGATTTACTAAGGAAAAACCATCACTTTATACATGTGTCTGTCCTTACTTTCCCTCAACTTTCAGAACCTACTGGCTAGTTTCAGTCATGTTTGGCTACTGGGGAGAGCAAGACATCTCAAAGATCAGGGTCCTTATGGGTTTGATGAAAATAAATAGCTAAGTAAAAAGGAGAGATAATGTAACAATCCATGCCAGAAAAGGGTGCTGCTCAGTTCTCATTCATGCTTTTCTCCTAAGGTTAGGGCCCCTCATTAGTTAGAAGCTTTTAGACCTCTGGTCACAGCCCTGACTCAAATATAGGATTGTCACCTGGATTTTCTTCGTTCAAGCCCTGTGTCAATCAACAGGACAGCACAACACTGATACATTGCCAGTGAGATTATAACCAGTGGCAACTGGTCTGATCAGCAGCTAGAATCTGAGGTGCAGTTAAACAGGGTTTCCGTTGTGTCCCATAGCTTTTTATGAACATAAGGCTGTGGTCTGTAGCCCTGCTGTAGGAAATATAGAACTTGCATCTTAGAAATCAAAGCCAGTCAGGCACATGCTCGAGCTCCCTAGGAAATCAAATTCTGTTCATTTCCCTGAACTTCTTGCTCTAAGTATTCAGTTACCAGAAAACATTTCAAAATGTGACCAGCTTGGATCAAGAGAGGTGCCATGCTTTTGTGGTGACTGAAGGTTTGGCAGTGAGGACAGGAACAATAGGACAGTTCTCTTTGGGAATTATTTATATTGTGCTCACAAGTGGACCACGCTGTGCTGGTGTTGAGTAAGGCAGTCTTCAGGAAATCAGGTGGGAGTACAAACTTTCCTTTTGCTGTATAAACAGTGGGTTGCATAACTAAATTTGTCTTTCTCCTGTTCTGGATGTTTTTTTCCATTTCAATTATTGTGTCCATATCGTCATACATATCAG